GCCTTTAGGTGTTCAGCAATGGTTTCAAAGAAGAGTTTGCAGAATTATATGAAGCTTTTCAAGTTCTTTCCAAGACTGAACAAGGCATATTTTGATGGCGCAGCTTAAAGCTAATGATGGTGGGTCAACAAGCACTAGCAGATGCCTTAAAAAGAAAACCAGATCTAATAAAAGAACCTTCTATCACTGGATCATAATACATCTCTTTTGCCAAGAAACTTATTTTAATATGCTAGGAATTGATAGGATTTACTTGGAAAACAAAGATGGTTATTGACAAAAGTGTTGCCAAGATTATAAAGAAATTTCTGGAAAACTATGCTGAAATTCATGGTTTGACAAGCACAGGAAGAAGAACTAATAGTATAACCCAGTCAGTTACATTTTTGCCCACTAAAATGAGTTGTAGATCAGTCCACTTCTTGCTGGTCTGGAAGAAGATGGTGTCTTTGAAGTATGATTCATTCAGGAAGTTATGCACCAGAGATTCAAATTATGATTCCAAGGACTGACTTGTGTGATACTTGTCAACATTTTCGAAATGGTTTACATTATAATGCTTGTCAGGAGGAAGAAGCCAAAGAATTACTCAAAAGATTTAAAGAACATCTGTTTTTATTCCTAGTAAAAATTCTCTATATAAAAACAGAAAATTAAATAGTAAAAATCTAATATTTAAATTTTAAAGATTAATTATTTACAATTCATTATCATTATATTATTTCATAATTAAAGAAAGAATAAATTGAATGCAAAGATATTAATTAATTAAATAATTAATTAAATAACATTTATGCATTCAAACATAAATGTTATCTTTTTTTAAATCCATATTTTTTCCGTTCATAAAACAAGTCTGTTTTGGAGGATCCTAGATTCACAATCTTTGGACATCCATCTCTCTATGAAAACAATAATAATTAAATCAAATAAACCAATAAATCTAATGTCAATTAATTAATTAGTACATACATCCTTTTCTTGCAATACACATTCTTTACAATAATATGCATCAGATACTCCAGGAGCACCACAAATCACACAACGACCTTGATATGAACCATAATTACATTCATCACATATTCTAATAATTTTATTTTAAGATATTAGCCATAAGGTTCAAATTCAAATGAACTATAAAAGTAAATAGAGAAAGAGTACTCGCCGAACAAGTGTATCAGGTCTTACATATCTATTATTGCATTAAAAAAAACATGTAAATAATAATATTATTATTTGAAACAAACTTTTTTTTGTAAATACTTACGAATCACAAATCACACATTTTCCATCACATTTTTCACAAAGACGCCCAATAGCTTTGGTATGATGATGACGATGATGATGTTAATATTAATATTTATAATGATGTTAAATAATAAAATTGACTCACCAATACCAGGTTGCTTTCTACACATTATAAGATCTGGGTGATGTTTTGCCATGATTTAAGAATGATCGATCGATCAATTGCAAAAAAAACCGTGTTACAAATAAAACAAGATCATTAAAAAAAGGTAATTTTAGTATCACATGTTTTATTGCGCAATTAATTTCTTAATAGTGGATCCGGGTGACACTTTAACTCAAGAAGGAAAATGAAAAAGGGTGGGTTCAAATAACACAAGTAGTAAAATTATGATTTCTTTTTTTTTTTTCTTAATTGCTAATTAAGCCTGCTAATTGTTTTATAAGAACAATCTCCGACCGACC